CTATTAAAAAAGGAAAGTGAATAAGGCTTCCAGAAAGAAACAAGTATGACAGAGAAATGCTTCAGACAAATACTTTTTCTATCATGAATTAATTTATTTGGGGGGCTGGCCTTGTAGCCTACTGGTTAAGTTCAGTGTGCTCTGCTTCGGCAGCCTGGGTTCAGTTCCTGGGTGCAGACCTACATGACTCGTTGGCTGCCATGCTGTGGTGGCAACCCATATACAAAATAGAGGAAGACTGGCACAGATGTTAGCTCAGAGTGAATCTACCTCAAGCAAAAAGATGAAGATTGCAACAGATGTTAGCTCAGGGTCAATCTTCCTCAGCAAAAAAAAAAAAAAAAAAAAAGAAGAAGAAGAAAGAAAATAATTTATTTTCAAACAAGAATATCAGTGGCCCATAAAAACTCCAAAAGTTCTTTAAGTTTCTGGAATAGCATAAAACAACGAATTATTTAAAGCCTTATCAGTTTAAACATTCCAGTTAGAGTAGCTCGGTCCTTAGTTCCCAGCCTTATTTTGAATGGTATATTTCTGCTTTGGCCCCATCAAAAGTCTAGATAATGTATTTAAATTAATGTTTCATATTCTCTTAAACTACTTAGAACAGAACAGTAATGTCAAAGGCTAAAACAGAACCCAACCAATTAATATAGGTGACTGTACTACTGGCATACTCCTCTGGTGCTATTTTCAAGATTAATGTTGACAGATTCAAGAAGCGATTTAAAACAGGGAGATGTCCTCTTTTGAGGGATTCTGTCTTTGGGAACTTTACAGTAGAGAAAGGTGACAGTGTCTCAAGGTAACAACAGTAACGAAAGGAACAACAACACTGAAAATAATGTGGCAGAGATCGCCAGTGCCCACCCAGTGCTCATTCTCCCTTTTCCTCTAGAAAGAGAATTTTGATTCTGTGGGGGTAACAAAGTGTACAGCCTCTGTTACAGGCGTGGGGGGGCAGGACTGGGACCAGTTTCTGACCAACGTCATATATGCAAAAGCCATTGGGTAGGGCTTACAGGAAAGCCCCTTAAAAGCACGCACACTCAGCTCAGAACATCCTTTTGCCCTTTACGCTTCAGTTCTTTCTGCCTGGAATGAGCATCTGATGGTAGAGACAGAGTAGCCACCTTGGAACTAAGAGGCAATTACGAGGAAAAGGCCAAGATTACCACAGAGATTACAGGCCTGAATTCTTGAGCTGCTGAGCCAAAGCCTGTCACGGCTACCTCCTCACTTCTTGTTTCATGATAAGAAAACCTCTAATTTGTTCTATTTTTGGCACTTCTGTTCCTAGCAACCAAATTCTTAAGGGATATGAATAACAGTAATAACCATGACAATAATGGTGACAATGACAGTACTGTTCTAAACGCTTTGCATTCACTATCTCATTTAATACTCACTGACCCATGATTATGATCTCTGTGTGACAGTTTAGGAAAGTGAGGCTTGGTCCCATAGCTAGTAAGAAGCAGAGTTAGGATCTGAGTCCTGGCAATCTAATTTCAACTGTATGTGTTGCGCCTTTGACCACCTGCTAAGCGGAGCACAACAGCAGTAGCGCAGTTGGGGTTCTGGGTTATGTGTGCTGTTCTCCACTGCTATTCTCCTTTATGCTAAACACATATGTCCAGTGTAGGCACCTCCAATAAAGATTCCTAAAACATCCAGAATTAATGTTTAAAAAGAGTGAAGTCAGATCAAACAGAAAGAAAATCTTCCCTGTGTGAGGATTCAGAACCATCTGTCCTGGGTCTGTCAACTTCCTCCCACTTCATCAGCCTGGGCATTTGAGCAGGAGCTCATTCTCAACCTGGAAGAGTCTAGGATGAGATCTTCATTGACGTTCTGAAGCCTTACCCTTTTAGATGAAACCATTACCAAGGGAGCTAATTAGTGCCAGCCTCAGAGTGTTTTCTTCAGTGCAGGCACCATGGCCACCACCTAGGACCTGTGACGGCCTTAGCACAGATGGAAATGATCTACCTTTAGCAGGATACACTTGAGTTGATTTTGAAAAAAAACAAAAAACAAAAAACAAAAAAATACCACTCTGAAAACTGCCTATGATATTTCCTAAGGGGATTTTTCAGAGGTGCTTTGTAAGCATGGAATGACCTTTCTGATCACAACTGCTCTTTGAATCAACTGTAACACAACAGTAAATTTGAGGGAAATTTTTAGATACTGGCTATTATGGTTAGGTCAATTTAAAATTAACTGAATAGTTTGGAAAATCAGAGTCACAGAAATTAAGAACTGAAGAGACCAGAGAGAATTTTGTACAATTTCCTCAATTATATTTCTTTCTCTTTTTTATGCACTTGCCATTTCCTAAAGATGAATAATAGCAGAAAATGCTGATGTTTAACATTTCCAGTTCACAGAGATCCATTTTGGACATTAAAACTAGAGATGCTTATGACAAATCCAATTAGAGATGGGACATACCAGTTTTCTAACCACTCTACTTTTGATCTTCTTGCAATCCAGTCTCTATGCTGCCACCAGAGTTTTCTTGCCTCCTTCCCTACTTAGAAAACAAAACACAACCCATCACAACCTGGACCTAGTCTACTGCTCCACGTTCGATCAGAACCACTGGCATCAATTCTACCATGACTACTTATTCCACTCAGATTTTACACTCTAGCTACTCTAATTTAAAATAATTACCTGAATATTCATTTTCTGTTGTATTTCTGGGTCTCTAGACATGCAATTCCTTTTGCCCATAATTCTCTTCCTGGACCCTCTTGCTCCCATACCCACTTTTGCACTTTGTGACTTTAGAATCTTTACTTTAGGCCACCAACCAACTAACAAACAGAAAACAAATAAAGAGAAACTCTTGTGGAACTTAAAAAAACTGATAAAAGGTGGGGCTGGCCCCGTGGCCGAGTGGTTAAGTTCGCGCGCTCCGCTGCAGGCGGCCCAGTGTTTCGTTGGTTCGAATCCTGGGCGCGGACATGGCACTGCTCATCAGACCACGCTGAGGCAGCGTCCCACATACCACAACTAGAAGGACCCACAACGAAGAATACACAACTATGTACCGGAGGGCTTTGGGGAGAAAAAGAAAAAAATAAAATCTTTAAAAAAAAAAAAAAAACTGATAAAAGGTCAAACTAATCATCCAAATCAGGAGTCACCAAACTTTTTCTGTTAAGGGACAGAGTAGCAAATATTTTAGGCATTGTGGGCCACGCAATTTCTGTTGCAACTACTTAACTCTGCTGATGTAGCTAGAGAGGAGCCACTGACATTATGCAAGTGAACAGGTGTGGCTGTGTTCTAATAAAACTTTATTATAACACCAGGCAGTGGGCCAGATTTGGCTAGTGGGCCCCGGTTTGCCAACTCCTCCTCTAAATTATGCTATGTCTAAACAACACGTCTCTACCTGGCAACATACAACACTTCCCAAGAATATATTAATAAAAAGCAAAATCATATAATCATATACAAGAGAAGATATTTTATCACAAGTCATATCTGCCATCTGGGATGCCTTCATACTTCTTATCAAAAAATCTAATTAAAAATAATTTAAAAACCCATGGAAGCTAATTTTTTAGAGTGAGGATTATTGATCATACTTGAGTAAGTGATATAATGTACATTTATATCATTTAACAATTCTTAGTACTTAACAAATGCTAAAGATTACACCAGTTGAACCCAAATGGAATACAAATTCACCTTGTTATTGGTGAATTACACAAGGTGTTTTGTTTTTTCATGTGGCTCCCTTCCTTCCTCACTCCTTCCTTTCTTTCCTTCCTTCCTTCTTTCAAGAGAATTGTCTGACCCAGAGAAGGAGCAAAGACCAACTCCAACTTTGATCATGGCACAAAGCCAGGTCAATTGTAGCTCAGAAAGAGCAGGGACTTAGAGTCTGGTACTAGTGAAATCGGTGCCTTACTATGTTTCTTAATTGATACAAAAGGCTTTGAGTTCTCATCACAGCAGCGATCTAAGGAAAAGGTCTTATTTGTCTCCAGGGGACATTGTTCCCTATAAAGATTAAATATGTCTGCTGCATTTGTTTAAGTTCCTTGCACTGATATTACTTAAATATCATTATCTGAAAAACACTCCTTGCTTTTTGGAAAAAGCACTGAAGTGCTTCGAAACTATTTCTCCATTTAGTTCTGTATTGATAAATCACTCAATATTTAATATGCAGCTAATGCCTTCTTTCCCCCCCCAACTTCTCTTCTTTAGCAAACTTTACGTGGCAGTTAGTCTCTAACGATGGCCATCATGAGTCACATCATGCAGTTTTCGTGGCCTTAGGTATTCCCCCTACACTGAATATGCGCTGGCCTAGGACTCACTTTAACCAAGAGAATGCGACGGAAGGGACATTGTGCCAGTTCTTGACCTAAGCCTTAAAAAGGCTTTTGGCAGTCCTGAGCTGCCATGTAACGAGTGTCTCTGCTGGAGAGACCTCCACGTGGAGAAGGAGAAGCTCTGAGCCTACATGGAAGGAGAGAGAAGCTCAGCTGTTCCAGCTAAGCCCTCTTGTAGTTCTCCTCTGTCTAAACGTCAGACACGTCAATGAGCTATCTTGAACAGTTAGCCAGTTGAACGGCTGGGTGACTGAGGCCCAGCCAGCATCACATGGAACAAACAACTAAGCCCAATGAACCACAGAATTGTGAGAGAGAAGATGATTATTTTTTCAAGCCACTGAGTCTTAAGGTAGTTGATTATGTAGCAACAGGTAATCAAAACACCTTGAAATGATTACAAAGATTATATTAATATTGATGTTTCTTTTCTGGGAACCATTGCAGAGAATATTCTAAACACATAGAGTTCCACCTGGAGTTAGTAAAAAAGAAAAAATATATATTCTTCTGAAAAAAGCTTACTGACTCAGTCTTGACTTGGCCAAGAAGAATACAAAGTGAAAAACTAGATTGCAGAATGGGGTAATTTGGGGATTACCTATAATAAGTGATCAGTCAACACATTTTTTTCTACAGAGAGAAGAAAACAGGTGCTGTGGATACATCATCGTGCTGGAGTCGAATGCAGACCTAGGTTTGAATTCCAGCATTGTTTACTTACTGTGGGATCTTGGGCAAATCATTTACTATCTCCAAACCTCGGTCTCCTCAGATCCCAAATGAGAATACTGGCAGTCCTTTCAGGACTATTTTAAGGATTCAATTAGATAAACGTATGTAAAATTCTCGGCACAGCGTTTGGTACATAATAGGCACTCAATAAATCTATTTTATTGCCTTTCGGAGGTTTCGTGATGAGAACACGGCTGAACTGAAGGCATAAGCCTTGGGGCAAGCCTCTGACGTTGGGCTACGTAGCTCCTCTGATCACCACAAGGTAACGAGCAGCTCCTCAGTGCTTTCCAAGGAGAGGACGGGATGTGGAGAACTGAATCCTGCCTCTAACCAACAAGTATTATGACGTCCAGCTTCGACTACTGTTTTCAACTTCATTGTGTTCCCCCCAAATCCATGCATACCCCAAACACCTCCGAATGTAACTATATTTGGAGAAGGATCTTTAAACAAGTGACTAAGTTAAATTGGGGTTGTTAGGGTGGATTCTAATCTAAAACGACTGGTGTCCCTTAGAAAAAAAAGGAGATTAGAGGACACACACACACACATAGTGAAAACAGAGGGAGAAGACGGCCATCTAAGAGCCAAGGAGAGAGGCTCAGAGGAAACCAAGCCTGCCGGCGCCTTAACTTTGGACTTCCAGCCTCCAGAACTGGAGGAAATCAATTTCTGTTGTTCAAGCCGCCATTTGTGGTAGTTTGTCAAGGCAGTCCTAGCAAACTAACATGGTTACTCTGAAAAAGATTCAGGTCAATGAGACACGCTAATAAACTGCAGGTTGCGAAGGGCGTGGAAAGAAAATATTGTACTGATCACTTCCTAGAAGAAGGAGAGATGGGGAAGAAACGAGAGGAAGGAGACAGGCCTCCGCACTTGGGGAGCTCGGGCTGCGACGGTCATTTGGGATCTGCCCAAGACCGAGTCTGAGCAGGGAAGGTGAAAGGTTCACCTAAGGACAGAAAACATCGAAATAAGTAAATAATAAATAGATAACACCTCCACACCAAATGCAGAAAGAGAGAAAGCTCTGTCACTTGGGACCCCCTTTCTTTTGAAAAGCTTTAAGACATCTTATAGTACAAGTAGAAAGGGAAAACGCTTTGCTATTCTGAGCCGCTTCTTTTGCTTTTGTAAAAGACATCTGTGATGTCAACATTCAGTGAGAGCTATTCAGAATTTGGCACTTTAATTTATGTGAGAATGCCAATTCCAATGAGTAAAGAAGATATTAGAGTTACATTTAACATGAAATGCAAATATTGCATCGGAGTGGGCTAGGGATAAAAATGTCAATTGTAGGTAAAATTAAATACCACCTTCTTGAATCATTTGTCTTGGCATCATGGAAACTTTTTCAGCCTTCTCCAACAAGAATGTCAGATCTTGGTAACAGTAATTCATAAATGGCCAGATTCCACAGTGAGTCACAGTGACTAAAACACTCTGGATAAACACTTCACTTATTTATATTGTTGGGTCAAAATCACAATTTATTTAATTATCTATGTTGGTAACATTTTTCAAAGAGTTACATTTACTACTTTGCATCCTCTCAATGTGCCCCCTATGTTGTTGGCACACACAAGAAACAGAGTGGACGAGATTAATGGGATACTGAATGGATACCCCTAAGTATTAAAAGTCAACAAAAAGAGGATTAATAGGCAGCCACAGTGATTATATTAAAAAATAGAGTTTATTCCCAAGAACAAATGATCTGGGCTTCAAAGCATGACTTTACTACATCTTTGACCCTGGGATTTCTAAAATAACCTCTTTTTTAGTGAACAAGCGACATTAAATTGAAACTTTAATTTAAATTATGGGAGAGTATAAGAATGAAGTTCTTTAATCAAAAAAACCAAGCCACAGGGGCCAGCCCCATAGCCAAGTAGTTAAGTCTGTGCTCTCTACTTTGGCAGCCCGGGGTTTGCTGGTTCGGATCCTGGGCGTGGAACTATGCACTGCTCATCAAGCCACGGCGTGGAGGCATCCCACACAGAGGAACTAGAATGATCTACAACTAGGATACACGACTACGTACTGGGGCTTTGGAAAGGAAAAAAAAAAAAAACAAGCCATAAAAATCTAAAGTTTTCTTTTTTAAAGATTGGTACCTGAGCTAACGTCTGTGGCCAATCTTCTTTTTTCCTTCTTACCCCCAAAAGCCCCCCAGTACATAGCTGTATATTCTAGTTGTGAGTACCTCTGGCTATGCTACGTGGGACGCCGCCTCAGCATGGCCTGATGAGCGGGGCGTGTCTTCACCCAGGATCCAAATCGGAGAAACCCTGGGCCGCCGAAGAGGAGTGAGCGAACATTACCACTTGGCCACTGGGCCGGCCCCCAAATCTAAGATTTTAATGTAACCTCTTTTACTTCCTTTCAAATTTGAAGTTCTTCAGATCATAGAGAGACTTAATCTCTGGTTTAAAATTTAGTGCTAAATATGAACCAAAGGGTAAGGCCTCTGAAGCTGAGATTAAATATGTACTCTTTCAAATTAACCCTGCTGGCTGTTATATTCGTAAAGCACTGGGAGAAGAGCTACGGAGCCCTACTGTTTTACAATGTTAACTTTTCTAACGTTTCTCTTATTTGTGGGTTTGGTTAGTAGTGGAGGGAATCTTTTGAGTTTTTCAGTAACACTGCAGAACTCCCCCATGCTTCTAACTTGGAAATACTCAAAATAATAAATCAGAAGTATTGATCTCTACTTGCACAGGTTATTTTCTAATTGTTTTTGTCTCGATTTATTGATTTAAATGTAAAGCAATATTTTTAAGTTGAAGCAACCTGAATCTAATCTTTGATATGTTAGGGAATAAAACATGCCCCAGAGGCCAGCATGACAGTTACCGCATGGCTAAAATATCATGTGCTTGAATGAGGAAAACTAATATGTATTCATCTGAGCAGAATGTAAAATAATCATAAGATTTCTAGCTGTAAAATGCTTACCATTTGATTTGCTATCATTCTCAAAGGACAAATGAAAATCTCTTTATGTCACTTTGAATAGAAAAAATATTCTTTGCTTCATTCCCTTTAGTTTATAAATCTATTATTTATATCTTTCTTTTAAAAATTTTATCCTTGTTTGGATGGCACTGGAATGGCATGGGCTCAGAATGAAAGTTTCTTAGCCTTAGGTCTAATTTAAAATATTGTTGACCTGAAATTATAATATGCTGTTATCAATGCCCAGTGGTATTTTGTGGTGGAGCCATTAAGTAACCTAGCTAATTTCTATAATCCATTACCTGGTTCCCATTATTGTGCCATTAAATATTACCAGGGTTTTAGTATCGACACATTCCAGGAACTTAGCACGCAGATGTGGTGTGTAGAGAAGTTTGACTTACAGAGAAAAAAACCTCTGTTTGCATTTAATTCCTAATCAGTAGATCATGCTTCATTCGTCCAGCAATCGACTCACAGGATTCTTGGCGGTACTTCTAAGATTAAATCACAACAAAGACGAAGGTATTGGAATAAAAGCGCTTCTGCTAAAAGCAGCTAGGTTACAGAGGGCTTGATGTACCCTCAGGAAAATGCCACACAAGATCCATTCCATGAAAAATTTCACTTTTCCTGTTAAAAGCATATATTCATGATTTCTACTGTACTTCCGATAGGTGTTAGAAAGCAGACAACACTTCTTTTGATAAATGAGATACTGGATGAGGAATATTCCTTCGACACGGTTCCAAACTTTTCCTATCGTTTGCTCTCTAGAGAGGCCAGTTTTGGACTTATGCCACTGAACAGAGAAACCTACCTACCTAAAAAGATTTTGAGGCAGATTTTATAAAGCTGCACTGAGGTATTCTATATGAAATAAATCATTCTGTTTGTGAAATTCTAAACTCCAAACCTGAAAATTAAAGATTCTCTATCTTCTGGCACTTATTTTCTTACTTAAACTTATCTTCCATTCCTGTTTCCCACTACATGGGCCCTTTCACTCCAGCCAAAATGTGTATTCATGTTTCTCTGAACATGTACATTTTTTTTCTTCCAGGTATTGATTCAAAATAATCCTTCTTTGTAAAATACTCACTTCTTCTAATGTCTAGCCAAGTCTCACCCCGGTTTAACACTTTTCTCTAAATGTTGTGGCCCCTCAACTGCTTCTCTCTCCTGATCTCCATTTATATTTATCTGGGAACATACAATGGGGATATATTTTAAGAAACAAGATGATATAACTAGTATTATGAAATATTGTCTCATGTATATGCACTTGCCTCATATCTTTGGATCTCTAGGAAATATAGGAGCTCAAGGAGCATTTGTTGGTAATAACGACACAAGGAATTTCAGAATGTGAATACCCAGGCTTGCATTTGCTGAGGAGGCTTATACAGAGCATAATGCCAATCTAAGTTTCTACCTTAGAAAACTAGAAAAAGAAGAGCAAATTAGATACAAATTAAACAGAAGAAAATAAATAATAAAAACTAGACCAGAAATCAATACAATTTAAAACAGGAAATCACTAGAGAAAAATCAACAAAACCAACAGCTGGTTCTTTGAAAAGGTCAATAAAATTGATATGCCTCTAGTCAGGCTAACTACGAAAAAAAGAGAGAGAACAAAAATTACTACTATCAGAAATGAAAGAGGGAACATCACTACAGATCCCATGGAAATCAAAAGGATAATAAAGGAACATTATGAAAAAATGTATGCCCATAAATCTGATATCTGACATGAAATGGACCAACTCCTTAAAAGACACAATCTGCCAAAACTCACACAAGAAGAAATAGACAATCTGAATAGGCCTATATCTATTAACAAAATTGAATCAATAATTAATAACCTTCTAAAACAGAAAGCACAGGCTTGGATGGGTGAATCATACCAAATACTGGTGAATTCTACCAAACATAAGAAATTATACCAATTCTCTACAATCTCTTTCAGAAAACAGAAGCAGAGGGAATACTTCCCAACTCATTCTGAGAGGCCAGCGTTACTCTAATAGCAAAACGAGACAGACATTACAAGAAAAGGAAACTACAGAACAATATCTCTCATGAACACAGATGCAAACATCCTCAACAAAAGATTAGCAAACAGAATCCAAAATACATAAAAAGAATTATACACCATGATCAACTGAGGTTTATCCCAGGTATGTAAAGCTGGCTCAAC